GGGCTCGGGGTCACCGCCGCATCCACAGCACCCGGGCGGCCCCTCTCACGTGGAAGCGTGTAGGGCAGCCGCTGATTTTTAAAGACTTTCTCTTCCTTCCCCAAATAAATAGGGAAACTAGGACCGAATGCCTTCCGCAGCAGATACAGTCAGGGGCGATTTTGAAGTTCACGGCATTTGTTCGGTGCTTGGGCATTCTCATGATTACCTTCAAGCTTTTGTAGCTTCTTCAGAGCTCTTGTAGCTTCTTCAGAGCTCTTGGATGAAAAAAGAAGCATTAGACGGAACTCCAGATAAATTAGTCCAGCAACCTAGGAGTTACAAGAGGGAAAACAATTTTCTTCTATTTCTCACTTCTGCCAGGACACATTCCTTCAGTAAAATGAGCATGAGCCCCAACGGCAAGACTGAGCCATTCCCCCTAAAAAGAGCATTTCCAAGTAGCAATTGACAGGAACTGCTTCATTTAACTAGAAGTGACTGCAGGGAACCAGGAATTACCTACAGTATTACTGATGGTGCTCTTTTCCGTATTTAAAGGTAATCCAGAACTACCAACAGCAGTTAATATAACTTGGTCTTCAATCAATTTTAAAACTATACTACGATGGCAACCAAAACCGTCAGGCTACTTCTATACAGTAGAAATACATGGGTAAGTAGATAACACCAAGGTGTGTCCCTTAATGGCAACTGAAGAAGGTGCAAATGGAGTGTGTTTGAGAATTTCTGAGACTGAATGTAACAGGAATGTCCAACTGTAAGGATATCTTATTCAGGCTTCTGGTTTTGCCCACTTCAGAAATGGAGAGTTGAGCTTTCTGTCACTGTTTCAGTTCTGAGGTTTGGTGCAGGCGAGCTGCACTAGAGGGCTAGGCCAAGATACTTTGAGGAAGTTTAAATTCAGTCTGACATACTATTTATTAGATAGAATATAATTTTTATGTCTTTCAAAGTGTCTGGACAGAGTCTTTCGTCTTTAGTCTTGGGAGGTGTCTGATAAATAGGAGTCTGCATTTTATTCTAATTAGTGAATCACAGTAAATGAATAAAGTGTCTTGCTGGGTAATACTGAAAATCACCTTTGTTCGTCTTTCATGACTTCCTCTGTCATCATGCTTTACATAAGTGGTGAAATATTGTGGCCATAAAAAGTAGCCAGCTTATGTGAAGTGTTTAACACCTCTTTCAATATGGCACAAAAACTTTAAGTTCTGTAATAAATCTGTGCTGTTCTTTGCTCCCATATTAATTCATAGACCATTACTAAACATGGCTCAAAGGGAAACTGCACGATAGCTCTGCCACATATTAACATATGATGGTATTGCAGTCTCCTCTGTCTGTGGAAGTGGCATAGAAATGAGTTCTCTCATGACTAATGGATGAAATGCAATGAAGTGCAATGGCCTAATGTGCTTTTTTAGTCTTTAAAGGAATTATGAAATTAAGAGCCTTAAAATCATATACTTAGCAGAATGAATTTGATGAGCTTTATGAATCTGGTGGAGTTTCTTTCCAGCCATTTGTGCTTGTGAAAAATTGACGTCTGTTTACCAAAGATTCAGTATAGAATCAGGTATAGTTCTGAAATGGAGGCACTTTTAGACAGGCTGCTCTTAGGGATGAAGTGTATTTAAATGTTTGTTTTCGCATCTACGTACATGTACCAAGTACATTTGATCACAAAGATCAAACCTCCT